GCAGGAATTCTTTTTTATACTAAGAAAGGCACAGAGACCTTATCTCTGCCCTTACTTCCGTGGGGTGCACAAAGGCTAAGAAGTAACCGTTTGGTTTGCGGTCGCACACAGTCAGTCTGTAGATGTATGCTTACAAGGATCTCTGGCACTTGCCTGTCCTACTGTAGAAGGAAATGACCTGTAAGACCGTGCTTGGCTTTTACTCCTTTCCAAACCAGCTACTCTCAGATCTAAGTTTACCTGCTTGCTAGTGCTGTAGCTCTGGAGAAGGTCAGGTTTTCCTGGCATCCCTTATGTTGGAAGAAGGAAGTTATATCCTTTTCTTGTAGAAATCTGTTGCATGTACGTATCTCAGAATCTTTAGAAACTAATCGCAAGTTTCTTCATTTGGAAAATTCAAATGTTACCATTCAAAAGAAGACACGCTTCACCGAAAAAGAGCAGTATTTTAATATATGTACAGGAAAGTGTGAAGATTTTTAAAGGAAGCTCAGCAGAATGTAAACAGGGCTTCAAAGAGCTTGTGCCTGCCAGTTTCACTGTGGGTATAGCATGTGCTTTCTGGATCCAGGTGGGAAGCTATGATCATCCGGGCTCGGTTCCATACAAAAAATTAATAGCAAAACCCCACTCTTTCTGCTTTGGCTACAGCAGGGAGAATGAGCCAGATCACCTCCTTTTTTGTCTTTTCCCACTTTTTGTAGTAAGGTATGATTTTATGTATGAAAGTCTGAAAACTCCAGGTAGGAGTTTTAGAGGGTATCTTGGTTTTTCTAGGAACAAAGAATTTTCCAGTTTCTGTTTGTGCTTATCACTTGCTCTGTGTCGCTTTCCTTTCCAGGGTGAGCTGACTAATGGACGTTCCAAATTTCATGTCCTTTTCCTTCTCTTTGTGGCGGTCATGTTCTTCGTAAGCCTGATGTTTCTGTTTGGCTACCACTGTTGGCTTGTCAGTAGAAACAGATCTACTTTAGGTAAGACTGGGTGCGTGTGCACCCTAAGGGAGCGTAAGAAAAAAGACATTTGCGTTCTGCTTCTAGAGAGTCCAGCTGGCTTATGAAGGCAGGGGGAATTAAAAGATTTTTGCCCAATGCTGCAGGAATTTGTCACTTCAAATGAGCTGCATTTATCAGCTGGTGTGATTAAAGTTCTGTTAGGGAGACTGGAGCCTTAAAGTGTAAGGGTCCAATTATGCAAATGTTGTGCATACGTGTAACTGCACTTGCTGTGAAATCAGTGCAGCTTTTTAATAATATAGTTGTTCACGCTCATATGCTGGAGTGCATCTTAAAACAGCTAAGGAAGGTTGGGAGAAACGGTGTTCATCTTCACTGATGGACACAAAGAAGTTAGGTCTGTAAAATTACACCAGTGAACTGAAAATCTGAAATGCTGTGAATTGGGGGAGTAATTCCTTTTTCCTTCCTCAGATAGTGGTTATTCACCTTTTAAAGCTTGTTTGGACAAAGTTTTGTAACGAAACACACAGTATCAAGAGTTTTGAGCAGATATGCAGATTTTGTAAAGTTATTAACTTTAAAACTCATTTCAAGGGGCACTGGAGCTCATCTAGCCCAAAACATCAGACCTCTGCAGCAGCTTAGAAGGTAGATAAAACTGTTTCTAGTGCACTTTAGGTTCTCCTCCCCTCTCTTTTCTTTTCTTAATTTTATTTCTCACCGTAACAGAGGGTCTATCTGCATATGTTTGTTCCTAATGCTTATTCATTATATTACTAATGAATGAGGCAATTTAAATCTCCAGTGCCACTTCTGGAATATGCTTTGAAGAAAAACCTACTTATTCTGCAGATTTTCTATTCGGAAATTTGTAGTGTCACTGTGTTCCCACAGAGTTTTAACACGAGTCTTATACAAAGTTCTTTAAACTCTCTTCTGCAGATTAAGCAAAGTGCTTTTAGTTGGGTTTGTGGTTATTCCATATGGTTCATTTCCGAGAACAAGTTCCTGCTTTCAGTTTGGAAGTTGCATAAGTATTTACAGGCTTTCAAAATAAAAAGCCTGTTATTTTCGCACTTTGTATCTTTGTCATGCTAGTTCACAGTACAGTAGATCGTGTTGTGCATGTTGCAGCCATCTTAGGATGTACAGTCCTGTTTCAGTGTTTGACATTAATTTTCACTTTTTCACTGAAATTGCATCCATCTGTAGAGGCTTTCTCAGCTCCGGTGTTTCAAAATGGCCCGGATAAAAATGGATTCAATCTCGGCTTTGTAAAGAACCTTCAGCAAGTGTTCGGAGAAGAAAAAAAGCTCTGGTTACTACCCGTCGTCTCTAGGTAAGTAATAACCGGGTCAGTGCTAAAAGCTGATACGATTAACTGAAGAGACTTGACTTCTAAATGGCTGGTATAGCTGTACGTGTTACACCTACGCTTGTGTGGCTTAGCTAGCTGCTATTGTGCATCATTGTAAATGAATCAGCGAATGCCATCCGTGTTAATCTTGATCACTAGAAGTCTGGAAGCGGAAGTTTTTTGTGGTATTAATGTACAATATAGGATGTTGTTCTTTCTGGAATTCTGTGGTGCAAGTGTGGATGAGCGTTCACTTGAAACATGCTGGTTCTTCCTCTGTTGGACTCCTGTGGCTGAAACAGAATTTATATTACTTAATTTGGGGGAAAATATTGTTTTGGCCCCTAGTAGACCAGTAGTAAAGTACACTTGAGTCCAATTCCTTTAGTAATTGGACACTACGTAAAATAAGCTGCTAGGACATTCACAACTTTTTCAAGTAGCTGCATATTTGTAATATGCAAGTCCAAGACCCAGCTGTATCGCCGTTGCCATCTCCTGTCCACTCTTAAATGTAGTTCCAGGGGAAAAGATTAGCACAGAGAGCCTTTCTGTTAAAGGTGATACTGAAGTGCTGGTCAGAGACACGTTACCAACATATATGCTAATCTTAGGGGAAATGCCCAAGTTATTTTCCTTGGGTTAAAAAAAAAAATCATCAGAGGAAAAAGGTACTTCAGCTAGTTTACAGTACTTCTCTCTATGCTGCTGGATGTTAGGGAATACAGTGTGGCGCAGCCCAAACTAGAATATCCTGTTTTTAACTTCCCCTGCCTTTCTAGCTGTCCTTAATTAATTTTTTTCCTGTTGTCTCCCAGTAACTTAACTGAGGCATGTTTGAATTCTGCTAAAAATTAATTCATTTGGGCTGAAACTTTCCATTTCTATTTTCCAAACAGTTTGCAGGAATTCAGGATCAAAGCTACTTTCTAGTAAAACGTGGTATCTGAGCTACCACAAAAATAAACTCAATATTTTTCAAAACTTAAAAATATTTTAAAGTAGACATTGGAAATACAGGCGACAAAACCTTTTGTATGCAGATGAAAGCTAACACAAGCGTCAAAGTCGATTGTCATCCTTCAGGGCCACTTGCTGCTTTTCACAGCGTTTGTCTCTGCCTTTTTCCATGCAGCCAGGGGGATGGGCATTTTTTCCCCATGAGAGCTTTGTGTGAAGCTCAGAATCCTCTCCTAGCAAATGAAGAGCAGTGGGAAGATGATGGAATAGATGAAGAGCCACATGGTAAGGTAACACAAAAAGAAATTGGTTGTGTCTTGACATGCAGTGACTAATGGATGCATTACAAGGGCTGGCTAAATCACTAGGCAGCTCTGACTTGATTAATGAATACAGAGTAAAAATAAGCCCTTCTTTGAAGTCAGCTTTTTTTTTTTAAGTCATAGCTTTATGCTTGCAAATAAATGGACTGAGAGGTTGTTACTCACAACTTGCAGAGAGAAATTGAAATTTCTGCAAACTGAGTGAATTGATATGTAAATGCTGTTGCGCGCAGCACAGTTACTGGAGAAGTGAAGTTGTGCCTGCAAAAATGAAAAGACTAAGATTTTTTTAAAAAATATTTATTCTCTGAGAGTTTGTGCAAGTGTCCGTGCAAACACCTGAATGCAGAGATACATTTAGGAAGCTATTTTGTACTTAGTTTGTTCTGCTTTAATCCAAGAGTGTAGAGGAAGCTCATTTAGTTTTGAGGCTTGCCTAGGCATTCGCTGTCTAATCTGTAGAAGATATATACATGCTGAGAGCAATTCTAGGTGATCTGGCTTGTTTGCACAATAGGTTTGATCACTTTTTGAAATATAAATACACTTTTTATGCTATGGACATCCTATTAGGGAAAAAAAAAAGACTTTATCAATCTATTATTTGACTGGGTTTTTTTAGATGCATCCAAAATTAGTTTGATAATTCATCACCATTATTTTTCTCCTCTTGAACTTGAGGGTGTTTTCTCCTATATTTACCTCCAGGCTTTGGTCTTTGCAGAATACAGGAAGTATCAGAACACCTGGGTTAACGTCGGAGTCTCTGGTCGCTGTGTTTTAGGGTTCAAAAATCTTGTCGCTAAATTAAGCAAGGACTGATGGTTTTTCTGTGGTGTAAGGATGTCGTCTCATTTACGGGAACAATAACACTGACAGCAACTTTACTACACCGTGATTTGGAAGATAGGTTCCCTTTAAAAGAAATACAGTCATCTCACGGCCCTTCTCCCCTTACAGAATGGCGAAAGCATAATTAATTCTCAGGTTACTCTAACTAGTGAACCAAGCAAGTGTGCTTGGAGAAGCAGAAATCACAGCTCTATTGTTCAGAGGCATGATTGCCATAGTTGCTCTTTTTACTGCCTCAGAACAGTTTTCAGGAACGCTGCCAATAACGTGCACTTTCAGGGCATGCGCTTTAGTCATAGGTGCATGGCCCATGAGGAAGTCAGTAGTCTTGGTTAAATGGCGTAACAACAGCTTTTCAAGTGGGCTTCTTTGTATACGTGTGCGACATACTGTGAATCGAGCTCTTTCTTCCAAACACCACAGTATTTGCTGTCCAGTCTCTGGTTAACTTGAAAATTGCAAAAACAATCTATTCCACTGCAAAATAAGCAACGTATGTTTTTTCCAAGGCACACTTCACATACTAGCAGTGCTGGGAAAACCTACTCGCCAGGATTTTGTGAATAGGACTGAAGAGGCTCGTTTCAGCGTTAATTCAGATAAACAGCTTGCTTTAGTTAGCATGTGTGTGTTAGAAAAATACCTGTTCCTCTTGTTGGTATTTTTCTTACTGCCAGGCACAACTTCCTCTCTGGTCTCAGTCTGAACATCTGAATTTAGCGAGAGGAAATCCTGCATGGAGACTCGGGGAGCGTGCATGGTTGGGAGGGAGGAACCTAGCACCCTTCCCTGGATATGGCTGTGGCCGGTGCTGCAGGATCGGCAATAGCTGACAGTTGTGCAAACTTTCAGCTCTGCCCATGATCCGGTTTCTTGAGCGTGGTGATGCTTTCTTCCAAAAGCTCCGCAGCAGGCAGGGACGTTTACTTTACAACTTTACAGGTTTCATGGCTCTCCGTGACCACCGGCGTAGCATCAGGGTTTATTCAGTAATAGCACGTGTGTAATGTTTTTGAGGAAATCGTTTTCTGATACAGGATAAATCCATCTCTTGGGGCATTTTTCTTTAAACTCTTGACTGCACCATTCCGCCAGTGCAGATAACAAATGTCTGTTTATCGTTTTGACTCATGTAAAAGATGTTGGGGGAGAGGGAGGAGCATGAGAAAAGGTACCGAGTCACGTTCTTTTTCCGGGCATTAATCGCCCATAGGCAAAGCAGGAGTTGAGAAAACATGAATTTTCAGATATTTCGATTCTGCAGTCCTAGGAAACGGCACTGCCAGCTGCATCAAGATGAGGATAACAGCTGCCCTCCTGTGTTTAGGAGGGGTCTCTCTCCCCCTGGAGCGTCACCTGCGGTGGCTCGTGCACCTGGACTCCATGGCAGGCTCCCACAGAAGAGGGAGAGAAACGCCACGGAGATCATTATAAGAAAAGAGAGGGCTGTAGGAGCTTGATGAAACGTTCCTTTGTGTACTGCTATCCTGCCTAACTGCATTATTTAGGGCTACCAAGATGATTAGAGGGCTGGAGCATCTCTCCTATGAAGAAAGACTGCAAGAGCTGGGCCTGTTCAGCCTGGAGAAGAGAAGATTGAGAGGGGATCTCATCAACGTGTACAAGTATCTGAAGGGGGAGTGTCAAGAGGATGAGGCCAGCCTCTTCTCTGTGGTGCCCAGCAACAGGACAAGAGGCAATGGGCAGAAACTGAACCACAGGCAGTTCCATCTGAACCTGAGAAAAAACTTCTTCACTGTGAGGGTGACAGAGCATTGGAAGAGGTTGCCCAGAGAGGTGGTGGAGTCTCCTTCACTGGAGATATTCAAAACCCGTCTGGACGTGATCCTGGGCAATATGCTCTAGGTGACCCTGCTTGAGCAGGGAGGTTGGACTAGATGATCTCCAGAGGTCCCTTCCAACCTAAACGATTCTGTGATTCTGTGATTATTGCGGTCTTTTATTTCCTCCCAGATGTTCTGTGTGTGCATAAAGCGATGCGTTTTTAAGGCCCTGCAACTGCAAATTCACAATATCCGCGTGTGGATATTAGGGGAGATCACCAGTAAGGGGGCTGGGAGGTTGATGAGGAGAGGACAAGCCCAACTGAAAGCAGGGAGAGGAGGTGGCCTAACGTAGGTCCTCAGAGTGTACAAGCCATCTTCTCAGCTGTCTTACCTACAGAATTGTCCTTTTCTCTGTCATGTGCATGTTTAAACGTGCCCTTGTTTGATTTTTGTATCCTGACTTGCTAAAGCTTTTAGTGTTTCTTTTAGAAAGAAAAATACCATGGGGAACCTTTTGTTTTATTTTTTTTAGCCAGAAACTGAAAACACTTGCCTCCAAATCCACGCTAATTTGAAGTTTTTTCAGAATTATTAACGCTCATCCTTTATTCGCAGGCATCTATTTATCTATCTAGCTGGGAAGCTGCCCCAAATCACATGCTGGCAGCTTATAAGGTTATCAGTTTTTTCAGAGAATTCATCTATAATGTTGTATTTGACGCGTCGATCGTGGATGTATCAGTACGGTGAATGCTTGCAGTCTTCGCCTTTCGGCGCCTAGGACAGGACAGCCATCCATTTCTGTATGTTGTATGGCAATGTCAGATCACTTAAGTGGATTTAATAATTTGATAATGTATTTCATTTTAACTTGTACAGAAGGCTTCAGTATGAATGAAATCTTTCCTAGATTGTTTTCATCTTCAAAATTTCCTTGTCTGTCCTAAGTTACCTCTCTCCAGCAAAAGCCAACATACCCTGAGCAGAAGTTGATAATCTCTGCAGGTGTCTGAAGGCATGTGATTTGAATTTAAATTCAAGTTGTTAGGAGCCTAATTAAAGGAGCTCCATGTCCTGAGATATCAGCTAATTTGGCATAGCCGTCCTTTGAGTAGAGAAGTCATCTGTTGTGATGGTAGGGATTAAATTTCTATCCATGGAGAAATTTAAAAAGCTACTTAGAGGTCTGAAATGAGCAGCGATTGCTCAGACAGTCCGTTGGAGGATTAGGAAATTCAGTAAACTGAGACAAAAGACAACGTTTGCATCTCTGTTTTTTAGGCATGATATAAATGTTTAAGTAGCGTCTGTGAGAAAAAGGTCAAGTCAAATCAGTGCTAAACCCTGCATCAGCAACTGATTCAAAATCAGGTTTTAATCGATGTGGGGGTACCTGTGCAGAAATCTGTGTCAGTTTGACTAAATCTCTTGGTAAATACATTTACTAAAACCGGTATGGTTTTGTATGTCTGTCCGACCTGAAGCTACTAAGTCGATTAGATGAAAAATGATCTTCCCTAAAAAGCTTGCAGGCAGTGAAATTTCAGTGGGACTAGTGCCGCAGAGCCAACAAGCCCTATATCCTTGTATGAGTTCCCTGTGACGTGCAGATCTTAGGCTTTCCTGAATGTGTGCAGAATAAAGGGCCGTTCGCTGGAACTTCCCATCGGAATATATGTATTAGAGTTTGCATGATAAAATAGTTGCTTATGACCATAAATAATGAAAATGACCTGATAATGAAAACAGCAGTGGTTCCTCAACTCCATAGTAAGGCAACCAGAGGCCGAGGCAGATTTGTTGGTGTTGGATGTGTGGTTGGGTGGGATTTTGAGGGGGCGAGGTGGGGGAAAGGGGAGTGTTTGCTTTTTATTTTTCTTTTACTTTCATGGAGAAAATCCAGTTGGAGAAAAGGAGAGAAAGTTCTGTGGCAAGTTGATTTTTGACGCTCTGCTCAATTCTTTTAACCATCATGTGTTACACAGCCAGCTCTGGATTTTAAAACTGAACAGCACAAGATCACTGTGAGACATCTACAGAGCAATACAGTTTTGAAGTCCTGTTTTCAACAGTCATGGAAACAACTCTAGAAGTATGAATTTGGGAATTGGATCTTGTTCCTATATCTTCCACAGTTTTGGGGTTTGTTTTTTGTTTTGTTTTTTGGACATAGGACATCTTGTTTCACTTAGCCATGTTTTGCAGGTGGGGAGAGATACAGCATGACGCATTCCTACATCTGAGGCTGTGAAGATAGATTTATGCATATAAATTGCTTTGAGATTCTTGGGTATTAGTTACTGTAATAATGCAGTTTTACAGTAGCAGAAAATGTGGCTTATGGTTAGCTGGATGCTGTTTCCGTTGAATATGAGGTATGAGCTGCCTTCAGGCTGTTTATCATTTTAAACAGACCTTTTCTGTGTTTCATAAGATCATAGAAATAAGTGTTGGTTGGAAAGGGTGTCTGGAGGTGTCGAGAGTAACCTCTCGCTTGAAGTGGAGCTGCTACCGGCACTAGATCTGAGCAGCCGTGGGTTTGTCTGGCCAAGTCTCTGCAGCCTCCAAGGACAGACGTTCCACAGCCTCTGTGCGCAGCCTACTCCAGTGCTGCGCAACCCTCCTACGAGAAACGTTTTACTAATCACTAGCTGCCAGAAGTCACAGCTAGCGGCTATCGCTCCGTGTCTGACACTATCAAGTAAAGTTTGGCTCTGCTCTCTTTGCAACTGCCCTTCAAGTAGTCGTAGACTGCTATTCGATCAGCCCTGAGCCTCCTATTCACCAGGTTAAACCAGCCCAACTCTTTGTAGGTTTAAAGTAGAAATTTCTAGGCTTATATGTAGCTTGAGTCTGACCTCCTCTGCCTTTTGTTTTCTGAGATTTGGACAGTAACCGTGTGTTTTCATAGAAATATGCGGGTTTTATTTTGCAGGTGAAAATGTTTAGGAATGAACTGTCATAAGAGTATGAAATGTATCGCTGTGTATTTTTACCACTGCCATGTCAACAAAACTATTCAGGGAACATCATTTCCTGCTACATTAAGCTTTGGTACTCTCACTTCCATCTCATAGGAGGGTTTTGGCAAAGTGCATTGTAGACACAATTGACGTTGTTTTACTCTTGCTTGTTTTCTCATTGCTGCTTTCCTTTCTCCTAAGGCATCAGCAAATGAAGCACTCTACTGAGTTTTCAGATTCCATCTCATACAAGAGAAGGAAAGCAGTATGATTTTCTAACTTAGAGAGGCCTGAAATGTTCCGTTAAAACGGAAAGATCTTTATTTGTCATAGTGGCTTTAAAGCTTGTGACATGATTATGAAATAAAGCCAATAATAAAGTAATCTGGGTTTGAAAAATGGTGTTCAATTAGCTCTGACAAGTGGTTACCTATTTTTATTTGGCATGATTCTTAACAACACATTCCTACGCTTAGTGAAAAGGATATTCTTAGTGAGAGAAACAGACTTACTTATCTCTAACTACTTTGTTTTTTGTTGTATAGGTTCCAATGAAGCTTCATCCCTTGCCATAGAAAGGGAGACGTAGCGCTCTGAAAATGCAACAATACAAAGCTTGTTCAGAAAGGTCAGTATTTCTTTCTTGGTTACCTTAAAAGCAGGAGCTCTGCAGGGAATCTGGTAGGTAATCTTGGACAGATTTTGGCTTTAACAGTGGCTTATCCCACATCGCTTGGGCAAAGTCATGCCGAAGGTCTGACTGCAGAGCGAAGACCTTCACGTTGCTTTGGAAGTGGTGCAGCTGTGGTGGAGGTCTGCCACCACCAACTGAGCCAACTAAAGGAGACAGAGACGCTCTCACCAGAGCATCCTGTTGAAGCAACTGTGCATGGTAGTATGTTGCCAGTGGTATTTCATCTTACTCAGAAATGTATGGTTTGAGAGAACCTGAAAGAGGACAGTGGCTGTCCAGTAGCCCTGGGCCAGATGCTTGCTCAGTTTACCCAAAAGCAGAAAGACACCATTTGTAGGGGAGGATATAAACCCTGCAGCTCCTCTGGTGGATGTGGCAACCATGATTCTTGCCACTAAGTTCTACATTTTTAAGGATGGAAATATGTTTTGTGATTCATAGAAGGTGTGGGAAGGTGGAGATAGAATCTTGAAAGAAACCAAAGTTGAGAACAGCCATGTTGCATGCTCCATGCAGCTGGGACTAAATGGAAGAGACTTGCAATGTCCTTATCAGCCATTACTTTTATCTAGTTTTTCTTCACCCTGGACAAATGGGTGCAACCACAGATGATATATGGTTTGGGGAAGATGTTGCATATCAGAATGCTCACTGATTATACTGTCTGCTCTGACTTTAGTAGCAGTGGTGAGGAAGCCACACACTTACCATTGCAATATGCTGTAGGCTGTGTCCTCCTCAGTCTCCATGAAAGAATTATACCCTGAAGTATCACTGATCAAGATTCGAGGGGTATCTTCTGCTCTCCCCCTTGCAGGAGATAGAATAGTCAGATACGCTTTGCCCCTTAATTTGCTCTGGATATCAAGTAACTCTAAATTGTATGTGAAAGCACTGTAATCCGCTGCCTACTTCTGCACATGAGTGAAGCAGCGTGCGATTTTTATAAATGGGCTTCTTGCGTGTTTTAGGTGTGATTCTGTTCTCTTCCACTGCGAAGAAAACCCCAAAATGTTTCTCCTGTTGATAATTGGTGAAAACTACAGAACGCCTTTCTACCCAGGGAGTGAAAAAGCAGCGTTTTCCCAGTCATTCTACATGGCTTTAAAATAATGGTCAAAATCAAGGTTGTACTGCCGTGTATTATAACTCATAAGATCAGTGCTTCAGCATTTTTCTTTCTTTAAATTTCAGCTTCCCTCTCAGGAGCCAACATCCCTTCTCTTTTCATGGACTTCAGTTTTGAGGGTCAGAAAACAAATGGATCTTCAAGATGAGAAAACGTCATGAAGTATCAACTGATTGGAATCTGCATTCTAGAGTGCTTCTCCAGAAATCCTGCTGCACAGATGTTTCAAGGCTTTATAAGTTTAAGTTATGGAGTGAACAGAACAGTTTTATAGAGTGATTCTGGCCAGTCTTCTTTGGCCTGCTCTCTTTATTTTATAAATAATATATATTTTTTATTCAAAATAGGCGAAAAAAATATTGATGTGAGTGCACTTCCAAAAGCCTTTTCACTTTGCAGACATCAGGGACTCAAGCTCTCAGAATTCTTCCAAGCCATAATATTCTTGGGAAACCTATTTATTTTGAGACTGGTTCTCCAACCTTCTCTGACAAGTGGCATTTTCTAATAAGTGTTTAAAGTCCTATCTGAGTAAGCTCAGCTCAGTGAGAGACAGACTTGCATAAATTTGGGACTAAATTGGTAGTTGGATGTGTGTGTTGAATGCAAAAGTGCTGAACATGCATATACATGTGCAGCTGTGTATGGAAATAAAATAGTTAGTCATATTGCCAGTATCAAGATTCAAGAATATTGTGGCCACTGATGCTTTTTTCTAGGAGGGTGTCGTTGTCTTAGATTGTGAGTTATAGTGCCCTTAAAGCTGAATCCTACTTGCAGGTACCTAAAATTCTGAAGGGAATTTTAGACAGTACAGTTTGCATTAATTCCTAGGGCTAGGGCTAAAATGACAGAATTTGCATGGCAATTAGAGTATTATCACCTTATCCCAGGATCAGTGTTTCATGGGATTTTTTGTATTTATGGAGTCAGAAAGGAAGGTGTTAATTTGAAACAGATGAGTTGGAAATGTGCACTGAATATTTAGCTCCAACAGTAGCATTTGGAGTTTACCCTTCACAAAGGTGGTTTTAGTCTCATAATGCTGAAGAGACAACAACTGATGTCCTGAATTAGGTCAGACTTCTTCCTGAGTGAATGTATTGACTGGTGTTGTAAAGATTTTTTTTTTTTTCCCCCAACACCAAGAGGTGATCAGATTTTTTTTCTATATTTGACTCCATTTGCAGTCAAAGGAAAGTGTCAGTGTTTTTATTCTGCAGCGTGGAACTGAGAATTTGCTGCCTGTATTATATGTGGTTTTCTAGATCCGAGTCTTTTTTTATCTGCACGATTCAGATCTGGCAACCCCATCACTCATGTCTGAATTGGATGCATGCTTGAAGTATTAATATACTACCTTTAAGATCATTTCTTACACTTCCCATTTTCTGTCCAGGTTTTATGTTTATTTATTTCCCCTTCGTGTTGACAGTGACTCAACAGCAGTTGTGCATGTCATGAGAAATTACCAGATAAGTATCTGTTCAGTGACAAAGGCCTTGGCTACATACTAGATCTTTTCGCCTCTGTTTACTCTGCTGCTGCTACCAGTATCTCCATTAATGACGCAAAGGAGTCGTGCAGAGATTTTTCTGTCCGTAAGAGCAGACACTTAATTACCTGATACAAACCATACTTTTTAGACAGACATTTTGTATGTCAGTCTCTAACCTCCACAGTGAGGTGTAGAGCAGGCAATACACCCTGTAAAATGTCTTATTGCTAAAATTTAAATGTTAAGAAATAGGGTGTGCTCGCCCAGTTTTAATGCAGGTTATTTGCCCAGAGTGTTACCGAGCGCTCTCTGAATGTTGCTGCTGACGACGCTTCAGCCGCTTCTGTTTGCTGGTTCCGTCATCAGACGGCTGTTGACTGCCGAAACTATTTTTCCTATCAAATCTAAACCTGCAGTTCTAATAGAAATCTGTTGCTGGATCTTAAGTTGTGTTTGGTGAAAGATGGCGGTACAATTAATCACGTCATTTCTGGCAAAATGTACTTCAGAGGGGGATCTGTAGAGGAAGACGGCAGCTAAATGCAATAGGAAATCATAGGAATTTAGTACCAACTGCTATTTGTGCCTTTTAAAATGCTAAGGTCTCTAACTCTAAATTTCTACTGTATAAAAACAGGAAGATAATTTGGCAGCTGTTTCATTCTGTCAGCTTACGAGTGTTTTTAGGACAGGAATATCAGAGCTGTGTCTGAAGCCATGTGGAGCTGCAGGAGTTTTCTGAGCAGGTTCTCGCATCCTTTCCGGATCTGGGACTGTTTAGGGCTGTTTCATTCTTTCATCGTCATTTCTTTGCCAAACTAGCAGCAGAGAAGCTACCTAAGAGATCTGCGAACTGTATCCCTGTTTGCTGTCCAGCTGTGACACTGTTCATTAGTTAATGCATAACATAAATTTTTGTCTTTGGTTGTAACTGTTATTAAAACAAATATATTTATGGTAAGGCTTATGTTTGGAAACAGCTTTAAATGTTTCCAAGTACTTTACAATAATGCTTTGACATCTTTCCTTAACTTGCGTACTGTTATTAAGTAACTTTGCTTGTGACTAGTTGCAGCTGATTTTCCATTTTCCTTAAAAGCAGCGCAGGCTTACCTGGTTATAACAAACTCTTGTCCAGGTAGAAACAATAAGCAATTTGATGGCTTCAGAATCACTCCAAGTCCGTATTCACACTGGTCAGATTTTTGAAAGCTTCCAAATGAAACATGAAACAAATACAAAAGTTGTGTTAAAATGAGCCAGGACAAAACGTAGAAAAGTTCAGGTATGTCTGAGTGACTGAAAAATCTCCGTTTTGCTCTTCTACTTACTTGAAGGAGAAGTCCTTATACAGTGCCTAGGATTGTACTGTTTTATGCTGCATTCCAGTGCAACAGAATAGAGTCGGGCAGATTCCTCTACGTCCCAAGATTAATTAAAGCTGAATATAAAAAGCTGCAGCGAAGGTAACGCCGCCCAAGGCAGCGGTGTTTGTGTTGTGTTTGCTGAAGCCGCTATACGTCTCTGTTTTTCAAGGCAGCGTGTAAACGGGCAGTCAGATCTCTGTGGGAAAAATTAGTATTTTTCAAAATATTGCTACCGAGACCTTTTTTCTTTGTGCATTATTGCAGCTGATGTTTTGAACATAATTGCAGGTGACCTACTAAGGAGAATGCAGTTATTTCGGTTAGTCTTTTTGGCCATTAAAAAGACTGCTAGCAAGAAAGCTAGGCAGCGTAAAAGCAGTAATTTTGACTGCAACACCCTAATACTTGCGCTTTTAAAGCGGGGCTTGTATTTACTTTTTAAATTGGCTTTTGGTTTTCGTAGCTTCTGAAGGAAAGTTGCACGTGCATCACGTTCTGTTGGATGTGCTAGGTGAATGCACTGGAAAACAGGAATTCCTCAGGCTGCTTCTGTAATCATTGCTGTAGGTGCAGATAAAGTATTCAGCCAAGCGTACGTTAGGTTTGTCTAACTTGCAAATAGTGCTTTAAGGGGAAAAAATCTGTGTCTGCTTTTGCTGGTGCAGCTTGTAGGGTAGAGCTGTATGCCACGTTGTGGGAAAGGCCCGGGGTATTTGTCTGGGGATGTTTACTGTCGCTCTCTACCTAGCTCCATCTGTAAATTTGGTTGCACCCAAAGAAGCTGGTGCATTAAACTCGTAAGGTTTGAACCAGTTCTAATGCGTTCTTAAGTTGTGTGACTGTAGTGTTTGTGAGGTTGTACACACGGCTGTTTGACCCCAGCCCGGGTTCAGCGTGGGAGTAGCGGGGTGACTTTCTCAACCTCATCCCGGAGACTGAGAGAGTTTTCTCTGGCTACGGAGCTCATGCCAGATCTACGCTACAAAATTATGCAGTAAGTGTTTTCCAGCTCAGGGTCAGAAGTAATTATTGTCCTTAGTTGAGGCTGTATTGGCAGTATAACTTGAGGTGTAGAAGCACCTCTGAGAAGGATGTTTTTGTTGGCTTAGCTTAATGTAGTCCAGGGAGGTGGTAACGCCTGCCAGCAGGAGAGCGCCGGTGGCGTGGCCGCGAGGCTGCTCTCCTGCCGGGACGCTCGGTAGGGCAGACCGGGCCTCAGCTGCCAGTTACTGCCAGGGTCGTTTTGATGAGGATGTGGGAGCTGGAACAGAGCCACCAAAGGCTGTGTGTAAATCTACCAAACAGTCACCAGATAGTAAGGTATGTTCACGCTCAGCTGGCCCAAATGCAAATCTGCCTTCCAAAAATCAAAGGCTCACCTGGAGTCTCTTGGAAAGTGTCGATCGTGGCAATGGCTTTTGTTAGCTTAAATCAAGGCCTGTAAGTGTGAGAATTCAGCTTGTATGCAGCGTATCCTGCTTTTCCCCTGGCCCGTTTGTTGTTTGTGTTTCATCATTTTACAAAGCTATTTCTTGCCCCTCACATGAATGAGGCCCTCATGAGCTATAAGTGGGTGTCATCATGTGAAAGAAAGAATTCTCTGCTGGATTTTACTGCGATACTGCCCTTCTGTCTTATTCCTTTTGTCTTGGGTTAATGTTCGAAAATAATTTGCCAGTAGCAACCACCTCCTCACCTCTCCCCCTTCTCTCCCATTTAAATTCAGGCACACTGTACTCTTCTTTTAAAAAAAAAAAAAAAAAGAGAAAACATCATATTGATGTCTCCATGGATTGTATTGTGACAAGTCCTATTCTTTGCCAGTGAGGTCTGCGTAAGGAATTAGGACTCTTACAAGCATCACTGCACTGCGGGGGGGTTTTTTTGGGTCTCTTGCTGCATTGGTTTAGTATGTTTCTGGAGTAGAATAAGATCGTATTCCTTTAACCAGGGAGTAGTACTGTACTTTTTTTAATGGGCTCTACTAGTGCGTGTAGCATACTGTAATTGATAACGACTGGGAAGCTTTCTGTTAGCATAGTAGTAATGAATGTTTACTTCCTGGAACGAATTAGAAATATGATTCAGCAAAATCTATAGCAATTATACTTCTTAAATTCTGTGTTCTGATGTGGACTGAAAGCACAACTTAGTATTAGTTACCAAACCTAATGCATAAAGTCTGTAACACAATATGAATGTACAGCGTCAGGGAAAAAAAACTTGTCTTCCTCCCTCTCATGGTTAGATATAAGGGAAGATTTCTTAAGATGTATTCAGGGAGCAGCTGTCTCTAGCCTAGTTGTTAAGCCAGCAGAACAGATTTACTGTTGGCAGAGCTGCTAATTCATGGAAGTGTTGAATTAACAGGTTAAGGAGGTACCATTGACCTTGTTTATTAAACCAGAATTAACTAACTCAAAGGGTTACATTTTCATTTCAGTGACTCCTGTGGTACACGTTTTTGAAATTGATCCATAGTACTTGAAAATACCTTGATTTTATTGATATTTTTCCAGTTCTATCAGCTTCTGTTTTGTTACAGAACACTTGCAAAAATAAACTCATTTTGAAACCATCAATTAAAGCATTTGCATGGTAGAGTGGGTTTTTTCATTAAGAGTAATGGTCTGTCAAACAGCTTGGCAGTGACAAACGTTTCAAGGTTGTGGCACTACACATACATATACTCTTCGTGCTTAATGCTTTATTTCCTTTTTTGCTAGTTAACATTGAGATCATACCCACTGTTAACGCGTTTTTATTCTTACTGGCCTTTTTACTTCTCGCTTTGTGCTCTTCCTCCTGAATATGCAGTCAAAATATATCAGGTTTCAACTATTTGTACCATTTTCTTTGAAACTAAGAAGGTGAGTAGAATTCATTTTAAAAAGTTATACAATGATGTATTTTATTGGTAACTAAACTTAATGTTTGTCAGGTATTGATTTGTGATTCTTATCAAAATTCAGACAGCTTTCTTTGCTCAAAGCAGTGGGATCCAGCTTTCCGTGTTGCTTTTTTCTTCTTCCTAAAAATCGTATTTCTTTGCTTTCTAGCTTCAGTTTGGAATGTAAACCTTGTGAAATGACATGTAAGTTTACATTTCAAATATGAACCTACAAATTTGTTATGCCTTCATACAGTTTAAAAATTTTTTTCCTGTATCAACAGAAGAAAACCAGTATTTGTAAATACAACAGCATTTGCAAAGCTTTAAGTGGATCACAGCCACTGTCAAAAAAGCATAAGGATTATATGTATTTAACAAAAAAAAAAAGACAAAGGGGTCATCCTTTCTTCTTATTCCAGTTGTGCTTAAGAAGACACATTCTTGCATCAGATACTAGTACCAAACACGTAACACAAAGGTATTTTACTTAATGGAATTCTTGCTGTTTCAGTACTTATTGGACTTTTTATTTGAAGCTAAATCCCACAGGAAGCCTGGGAGGAAAACAAAACAAAACAAAAAAACACCTTGGTCTTCCCTGTCCGCTTTCTAAAAATGAAAAAAAATTGCATGCACAGCACCTTCTTATATTATCACTTTCTTTATAAACAGAAATGAAAATCCAGTGGATTCTTGGAAGTGTTGGTGTACTGTTTCTTCCCGTTTCAAGAGGATTCTGGCACTTCTAGCATGTATGTAAGAAAGAGATGCAAATTCTCATATAAGCATCTGGTATCCCAATTATGCAACAAACCACCTGGCTTGGTGCTGCAGACATGGCCTCCAGTGAGAAGGAGATAAGATTTTATGACTTGTGTCATAAAAGACCTTGTGTGAAGAGGTAGGTGGAGCTGCGTGTGCTGCCTGTTTTGAATTAATTCCATGGGTGGGCATTCTTTTGCAATAGTTATGTTCACCTGTGGACGTCTGCTGTACTTACTGATAATCCAAACACGAGCTATTCCAGAATAATTCCAAACTGCAGTGTTTGATCAGGGAGCTTCTATTGCACCTTCCTTTTTGCTAGAAGCATGTAAAACAAAACATTTTATAAATTCTTTTATCTCTCCAGGAGTTTTTCAGCTGAAAAAGACTCATTTATGTTTGTTTTTTAAAATGGGCCCTTCAAAGATAAATAACGTTTTACAATTAGTTTCACACTTCTCTGTGCTAGAATTCAGCTATATTAGGAGTTTTGCCTTGCCCCAGAGTAAACCCAGTCAGTTTCACGCATTGGTGCTCATTGATGGGTTTTGACTTGGCACGAAAACGTGCATTGAATAGAACATTAACGGAAATCATTGTTCTTGGATTAGAAAACTTTGTTTGGGAACAAATACGCTACCTCCTAGACTAGGTCAGAATGACTTTGATTTTTCCCTTTTCACTGTTAACCACAGTAATGTAAAGAAAGAACGTCTCATATCAAGGAAGACTAGCTTAGTGGGCTCTGTGCCAATAACTTAAATTATTGGCAATAGTAACAGAAAGTCCATTTTATGATATATTATTTCATTCAGTTGTTTTTTTAGATAAACAATAGGACCTCATGTTGGTATTGATAAGTATTTTGAGTCTGCAAAATTTGCATAAAGCCAGTGCTGCTGTGTTCAGCTGAGGACATGACACATCGGAGCTATGTTGTTTAATACTAATTCACCCCTTAAATGCCTGGGAAGTAAACGTTTTTCAGTGAATGTTGCAAACAGTCTGCTGACAACATGTGGAATGTTTAGTCAGGTTCAGGAGTTTACTAACGTTGCTGGCATTGAGACTTTTGATATCAAATGAGTTTTTACAAAAGCTTTCACTATATACATTTTTTACTATCTGACAAACATTCTCTCTTTAATAGGATTGCTTTGTGTTTCACTAACACTTTCAAAGTGTTTATACAGTTGAATATGCTGTACATGTTGCTTTGGCACTTTCTATTATTTATACTAGAAAGCCTGCATGGTTTATACTGTATTGCAGGCAAGGAATGCATTAAAACCATTTTTGGCTAATTTATTTATTATACTTGTGATTGATCGGTTATTTCTTGTGAATTAGCCTGTGTCGAGGAAAAATAGTCTAGTTTTGGAAGCCTTACTCAGCTTTAGTTAATTGAGACTACTGCTTGGAGTGCGAAAGGTTCTTTACCTGAGCCAAGAAAAGGATTCCGAGTTCTGCCCCCCCCACCCCCTTATCTATTGAGGTGTTGTTTGGGGCAGGCTCGATCTTTCAGCAGAAGGCTTTGCATGCCAGTCACTGTCAAGAGGTAGGAAGCTCTGTACTTGCGATGGCATTCTGTAGTCCTGCAATTTTTAGAATATGGATGTATTTAAAGAAATAATATATGGTCTCTATAAATTAATTTTCAAAAAAGTTTAGTAAGACAAGATGCTAGGTAGTTTTTAAGTGTTCGATATCATGTACTTAGTGCCCTGGGCTACAAAACCAAAGAAAGTATTTGGCTGTATATTTATGTCGAATTTAATTCGTGCAAGTACTGCATTCAATATTTTGAAAGTGTGCTAATCAATTAAGGCCACATTTGTGCTTTAAGCCCTATTGCTCTGTGAACAAAGCTAGCACTTGAGTCCAATGTTTTGCCACAGCTTGCCTTTCTTTAAAATGGTTAGTGACACTTACTGATGTAACTACACAAGTTTTAAGAGACAAAACTTAAAATACTGTGTGTGCAGAATGTCTGTAGACTGCACCTCCTATTCTCAAATCTGAACCCCAGTTTGCTAGGGCATTTACATTGTAATAGGAAGATGAATGCTTCTTTCTTCAGTACCATTGAGCAAGACAACTACAAATGTTTTACTATTCGAAATTAATCCACAGAGAGCAAAATCCAAAGAGTTGCATCTTTAGTTATTGGCCGCTGTCCAAAGACTGAAAATGCTGCCAGAAATGTAATGTGGCTGCTAAGAATTACACGGAGTTCAAAGTGCCTACATCCTTTTGGAATCATTAAGAGTGGCTGCAGTGGCTAAATTGGAGTGATGTAGACATTAACAACAGAAATTAATACACGCTTTGACAATTTAGTTTTATTTTGCTCTTGCAAGCAGCCACAGAACAGGCTCTAGCCTAGAATAAATAAGTTAAAGCAGAGAGTGTAGCAATTTATACAAGCACAACATAAAGATGATTTCAGTTTGTACTGATTCAGGGTGCTGTGTTACTGCACCTGATTCAGTGTTCAAGCAGTAACCAACTAGAAGAAATATATAGGTCAAATATTTCCCCCCTTGGCCAAAAAGATTTTTACATATGCCTGCGACCAGCTCTGCTACAAGTAATAAAACGTAGAAAAAACAAAAAACAACAAAAAAAACCACTTTTGTAATATCATACAGCCATATCAGTTTGTTCCAAATGTCAGTCCGTTCCAAAATACTTCTGTCCAAAGTGTGTTGGTGCAACAGGGTGAACTTCTGTAGTTAAAATTGTGATCTCTGGAAATTCCTGGATGATAGATTTGGCACCTTTTGAGAAAGGAAAAATGGAATAATTAATAGGGCATTGCAAAAATATTTCAGGACAGCACGTTAAATCATGATTAGCTTTCTGTAGATTAGTCAGCCTCTGTTCTTCCATCTCTGGTTCATGTTTCCGGCTTAGCTAATTGGCTATGAGAAAAAAACTTCAGAAGTTTGCTGGATTGGTTTTAGAGTTTTTGTTTTGTTTTGTTAAGCATTATATGTATACCTCCAATCTAATCAACAACGTGGTTACAGGCTGCCAGGAATAACTCTGAAATGCACTTTGATCAGTGATAGTGATTTTTGCAGGGGCCAATTTTTCAAACCACCTACAAGATCTGTTTTCCTGCTCCACAGAAATGGTTTTTCTCTTTTGGAACACCTTTTACCTTTTAAAGTGTTTAACATGCAGACAGTACAGTTCTTTAGCTTTGTTGTTCTGGTGGCTGACCTACTCAACATTATCTGTGGCCTGCTACAGCCCAGAGCAACAGAAGAATTTGCATCGCTTTGTGAGCCACTGAAGCATTTTGTATACCTAGCAGCACTGCAGTCCTTGTTTGTAGGTATACTTAGGCATTTATAGGTATATTTGCAGTTTTGCCATTAGGTGTTACAGGCCTTTTTCTTTCTGCTAACCCACTCCACTGCCCACTCCAAACATGCCAGTGTCCGTTCTTAAAGTTTAAAAATTCAGCAGGTAAAGAAAAAAATTCTCTTCTGAGCAAAGCTCAGAAACAACTTGTCACCGTTATCCAGCAGCGTATGTGACTAACGTAACTCTTCCCCACTCAACGTACCTATGCTTGCTCTTCTGTCCCCTCTCATACCCTACCTCAACTTACCATGAGGTGTGGAGAATAGGCTTAGCAGGATAATGACACTTGGTTGTACGCCATGTTCTATAAGAACTTTTACAGCCTCAATTACAGTATTACCGGTGCCTGAAAGGGGAAAAAGTGAGATTTTTTTTTTTTTTTTCCTGGTTAAAGAGCTCATCCTAAACCGTTTGAGATATCTGCATTAATAGTGATGTGGGACTGAATGACAATACTGTCCTTTTCCACTGGAAAACTGTCACCTCCACATGCATTAATTATAGAAATTTTTGGTATCCTGATCAAGGAACTTCATCTCTGTATTGAAATAGCAGACTATGTCAAGTTTTAAGCACTGAACTTGATGAATTTTTCTAATGGCAAGAAATCTCATCTAGAATAATAAAATCGTAATTAAGAGCTCCTTGAATAGACCCAAAATTAAATCTTAAGACTGGAAAACTCACTTCATCTTGACAAACTCCTTACCAAATTGAGATTTTGTTGGTAGTATTAATTACATTTAATTTTAAAGTAATTTAGTCCTAGGATTATAGTATTCATCATGAAAAAGTCTTTTAATAGCATGGTCAAAATACCTTTTGAAGACTTTTCTCATGACAAAATAAAAAAAAAAAGTAATTTATATCAAACCTTAATACTTCAACTTGTTTCTCACAAATGCAGCCATACACAAATGATTTGCTCTGCATTCATGCAGAGGTTGACTGATGGCTATTCTGGTAAAGTCTGATATATTCTGTACTATGTCACCTAAAGCAAGCCAAAAACCTAATAAAAGCCCATGAAATTCAGGAATTTTCTTTTAAATACAGAACATACAGAGGCAGGTCTAACTGTAAATAATAGTGCAAGACACTTACTTAGTATTGGGTACATAAGAAGAACTTTTCTCCTGTAAATGTCTGGTGGAAACTTAGCATAGTACACTTTCGCTCTCTGAGTCTCTTCATCACTCTGTATCAGGATTTTTCCTATGCGGATTGATCTACAGCAGTCTCGTAAACCTTGTTCCATTGCCTCTCCTCAAATTGAACAGCAAACAAAACCCAACAAAAAACTGTTACGTGCTAAGAATGGGCACAATTACAAGATGCTGCAATTAAATTGACAGTCTCAATATTCTGTTAGTGAAGAGTTTTAAAAAGCATATTTTTTTTCTTGGTTCTAAGTATTAAAAACACTTTTTTCCCTCTGTCTAAACAGAAAGACTGGTGTGCTCAGTGTCGCTTAGTTTCTGGGTTTTAGTGTTCCCATATTACTAGGCTTTATTCACAGAAAAGCCTACAGGTTCCAAAAACTTTGAACTCATACTCACTGAACAACCAAAAATTGCCTACCACTTCTCATAATGCTGACTCCGCAGTTTCCCTTTTCAAATTTCACTCCTTCATACTTGTATCCTATTAAAGGGAAAAAAGACCAAACATTAGTGGAAGTGATTGCTCCCTCTTCTCCTGTTGTAATGCCCCTTTAGGGTACTGTTTTAAGTGACATTCATGTGACTGGAACTGATATCCCTCTTAATACCTAGGGTACAACACCAAGCTGCAAGTTTCTGAACAGGTGGCACAAACCAGTTTTTTGAGGCTTCATACCATATCTTGCAGTCCTAAAATAAGCAGTGGGAACAGGACCAAAATCATAGATTGGTAAAGAATTTGTGCTTTCTTTACTTTTAAAAGTTGCATCTAAAGAGTGGCTCAGAAGTGATTCTTCTGTTCTAGAGTGTTTTGTAACTCAGTACTCTGTGATTATTGTATATGGAGGATGCTATGCAAAATAAAGATAAACATTATGTCCCTAAGAAGCCAGGTAAATGCACTCTAGTGCTGCAGGTGGAAGAGTTATAACAGAAGTATAAAGTTACAGTACTACCTGGAATTACAGCTTTGATCATTAAAAGATACAAGTGGGCAATGATATGCATACGTATGACAGCAGCAACAGAACTGGAAGCTCAGGTAAAAGATAAGACAACAAAGCAAGATGGTCCCATTCATAGTTCTTCAGCTCTAACCCAAGAGGCTGATAATGAGCTTGCACTGTATAACTACTGGGAAGGAAGTGTACTTGGAGATTTTTTTTTTTTTTAAATAGGCTTTGCCTTTTACCCTGCCTGACTGAAAGAAGTCAAAAGGCTCTTTTAAAGGAAAAACAATAGGATGTGCAATGGATGTCCTTGAGGATAAATCACAGAGAATTGACAAGACATAGGAAATTCTGCTTCTGAGTCAGGAGCAATAGAAATTACCTGGGCTGATGGGATCTAACAAATGCTTGGAGGGTAAGAGTGAAGCATAGACGAGTAGGAATTCATATGAGTATGAATTCTCAAAGTACACTTTCTATTGGAAGAGCTAGGTCGAGGCCATTTTAGCACTCTCCTTGGGCACAGGTGTTGGAATGAAAGGACTGACATACATACTAACTGCAGACCTAAGAGGGTTTCCTAAGGTAAGACTCTACAGTATGGCCAAGAATAAGTGCAGGAATCTTAAGTCTTTCCATCAAAGCAACATGTGCTCAGAAGGCAAGGTCTAAGGCTCTCTTTGCCCATAGCCGCCGGGACAGTGGCCCAGTCAAAAAGACCTGCAGAGCTTCCAAGTAATATTATTTGCAGGAGACCTGCCAGTCAAATAGTGTAATGCAGAAAGCCAGTGGTCATCAAACCATCAGTCACCACCTGACCTGGAACAGATCTGAAGCCAATGCTCAAGAACTAAAGTTGCAGCTGTTTTAACAAGGAACTCTGGTAAGTGACTGTCTCTTCTCAGCACTTTCCTAAACTCTGTCTTGTTTCAAAATTGACCTTTTGCAGTCCATCTCTTCTGTAACTAAAGCATAGGGTAAAATTACTTATTGTCAAGGGCCAGGTTGGGAAGAGGGTGCGAGTTTACAGGGAGAGCTGCTCTTACCCTGGAGGAAACACAAATGAAATCCTCAAGGGGAAGAGGGCTAAGCTGATGTTTTGCCTTACAGGGGTAATGTAGGTTCAAAGCGTGTACATAAGCTGTCCACAAGAAGTACCTAATGCACTGTAAGCTTCTACTACACTACCTGTGAGTAACATGCAGCTTTACCTATCTTTAAATTTAATAGGAGCAGACCAAAATTATTGCAATGGGTTTCCTCTAGTCTTAACACAGCCCCTTTTTATTTCCTGCTTATCATCGCTCCCAGCTGGCCCCTAGTTGTAAACAGAGGCAGATTTAAGCTGGCATGGCAAAACTGCTTGCTGCTGAGTATTTTTTCCTTAACAGGCATGTGAAATGTCATCAGTTTTAATTCAACATTGTGGTAAGGGCGAGTAAGCTGATATTGCACGTACACGGGTAAATTTTCATCACCATTTTGCAAGACCAGTTTTTAAAAACTTAGAAGTTGACAATTCTATGTTTTGCTGAAGCATGTTATACTGTCCAGTCTTTGAAATACTATGAAGGGACCTTAAGTTTATACTCTGACCTGAATGTTGAACTGTTTCAGCCTCTTGCAACAGTTCCATATTTTGTTATATTAAGTTTCCACTTCCAGTCCTACTGGTGGAGGAGTAAATTCCCACTTACCTGTTGGAGTGGTCACTGTACATTCTGTGTATGGTAGCTGATTCAGTCCCTCTTCAACCACAAGTCTGATCTGTAGAACCAAAGGAACCAGACAACTTAAAATGGCTTTTTAAGTTATCGAGATAGGATACTAAATGTTAGTGTTTTTTTACAAGTGCTAGGTGAACACATGTATCAGTGGAAAAGGTTCTCTTTTAGCAGTAGTTAGGGGTTAACTTGAGACTTTTTTGGGGTGATGCATATGTTTTGTGCACAGGTCAAATGATGGCCTTACAAACAAAACTGGGGGGAAGGGGTTCATCAGCAATCCCAGGCACCCTGATTAAAAAGAATGAAGCACCAATGTTAACTTTATTTTGCTGACAGAAAATACTATTGAGAAAAGGAAACAATCACCACCACCTCCTGGAGTTCCCTGTCAGCTAGGCCTTACGGGCTATTTTCATACCAATATTTCTATGCGTAAGCTGCAGTGGGATCCAGAACAGCCACGAAATGCCCAAAGACAAGTCAGTCAATCAAGAAATCTCTTCATCACCCTCTTTGGCACCTGCCAGCTGTAGTTATTATGGGATGCTCTGCAAAGCACTTGCATTTTTGCACAGCACAGATGGCCCAGTTTCAGTAGGGACACCTCCACAGGAGCTGTATGGCTAGTAAGTTGCAATCTCTCTAGCCTCAAGTGGCCAGAAAACCTTGAGTTCTCCCCTGATGCTAGCCCTACAGCTGTACCCCAGGCAAAGTTACCTAAATATATTCATGTGAACCCAGAATGATTTCCCATGAAAGATGCTCTGGGTATTAAAGATTTAGAAAATGTTCTCCACTAGCAAGCCAAAGATTCAAAGGCTTGAATTGCTCAAGGACAGCTGCTGCCAAGCCAGAGATAAAACCTATTCAGCAAAAGTCACTGGATATTGGCAGAAATGAGGCGCTTGCTCCTGGGACCAAGCGTCTTTTTCGCTTCAGACACTTCTTATTCCAGAAACAGAGCAAAACAGGCTAGAAGACTTTTCTTCTTATCTTCCATTCTGCCCTACTTCCTAGCACGCAGGCAGGCTCTACTAGGAATTAGCAAAGGTCTCTCTAAATTTATAGTCTCTCTTTGAATACATTTTTAGTAATTTTAGTACTACAAGAATTTTTATCTGGAGTTGGATTTGTGGCAGCCATATTCAGAGGTAGTGGTCAGATTACACCAGTGAAGGGGTCAGAGATGGTGCAAGTCGCATATAAAGGGAGCAAAAGACTGAAAAAGCAATTCACATGGTAATACATTAATTTTGGCAAGGGTCTATACCTTCACCGCAGCCAAGCTGCATATGGGAACCAGGTCCTTCTGAATTGTCGGTCCCCTCTGCGCTTGACTCACTGCATGTGTTTGGTAGCTCCAGGCAATGAATGTCAGGAAGCAAGTTGTACCACCTTCCTCCTCCTCCTCTATATCTAAAAATAGAGTTTTCTTCCTCAGTCTTTTCTGGAACACTTTAATCCTGAGATTGAAGGCACTAGTGTTTCTATCAGGGATACCCTACTAATGGAAGGACATCTTCTGACAGAAGCAAACCAAGAAATCCTCGATTTAATTATAGGTTCCTGGGACATTTGGACAGAGAAAGACTTTTTTTTTTTTGAAGTTATTTCACAAAAAGCTATGAGCCAGGTCTGGAAGAAACACTCCTTTTTTCTTCACACTGCTTTCATGTTGAGAGGGTTAGTGCCACTCCACGCTATCTGCCAGATGTTCTGAGCAAAAGCAGTGAAGGTTTATAGTCAAATTAAAAAGCAAATTGTCATTAATATACACGTCAATATATTTTATAAAGAGGCAGGGAAAGATTCTGTTGTAAACCTGTCAGTTTTGATAAAACATTTATTTTTGTACTATACTTCTTGTCTTCTCTAAACTCAAAGATTAGAATTTCTGACCATTTTCAACTTCTTTGCTCTCTGGCCCCGAGGACCAGCAATGCTGCTCCTCTCCCAGACAGGTGGTTGTAACTGCTTCAAATCTAAAGCTGAGTAGGTCCTGTTATAGCCCACACGTGGAGGAGGGAGAAGAAAAGCTTTGGTCTTGAGGTAGAAGAGTTTGACCAGAAATTAAAACCATTAACAGCAATTGTTAGCAATAGCCATTGTTAGCAATAACAGAAGTTAAAGTTTGTTTTAGCTACTTTTTTCAATGAGAAGGAACATTAAATTCTAGCAGGCCTAGTTAAATTGTCAAGGCTTACAGACTTATGCTGAAGTTTTAGCTTAAGCATTTAATGCTGCTATACAAAATTATACAGTCAACATGCTGGTTTATTACAATTATGTGTTTAGGAGTTACTCGAAAGCCTCTGCAGTAGGCAAAGGCAACTACTGTTTCCTTTGACCTTTCATTAATATAAGATCTGTTATAACTGTTAGCGAAAGCCACAGCTACCAAAAGTCTAAGGAACTTTAGCTAACTACTACAAACACTTCAAGGAAGTGAAAATGATAGTGACACTTATCTTCTCTAGGCCAATTAATCTTGTTAATAAAGTCTCCTTACCACACTCACATACTGAAGAAATCAGATTTGACCAGTTCTTCAGCGTCTATAAACAGATAAATTTAGATATAGGCAACTAAAGAAAGTAGGCTGATATTACTCTAATTTAGAAGAGGTATAATCATGAAATAAGGAAACCAGCTAGGGTGCAGTTAGAGATGACACTGCACTGACCAGACAAAACTGAAAAAAAAATGTGAGCCCTTTAAGAGCCATCCCAAAAGATATCAGTAATCCTGAGTGGTTGTATGTGACGCAGCTCTTCTATTTGCCTGCAATTTGGAAAAAGGTGAAGCATGTAGACGCCAATAAATTTGAAGTTAAAGAAATTCCGGAGTGACCATTATATTCTTCCCCTATTTCATAGGAAGACAGTAGTCTTAACTATATTTTATGTGATAATCATGTATCCCTTAATTTCTAAGATCATAACAATTCCTAGGTGGGTCCTCTAACCCATTATGTTGCAGGTTGCAACCTGCTTTAGCTTTTCTTGGAAGTGGAAGGCAGGACAGTGGAACTGTCACTAATATTTCATACTAGTACAGTTCTCGTCACCTCAGGATTGCAAACCACTTATCAAATATGCATCATCATCCTCTTTAAACAGAGGTAGGTGGGCAGAAAGGTAGAGCACTCTGTTCAGGGAGTTGCTGAGAAAAGAAAAGAGAGAAAAGAATGAACTCCTCAGACTCAGATCTCCAGTCAAACCACCAAACGTACCTTCTGCTCTCTGCTGAAAAGCATCACTGTACTCGCAAACTGAGCTTGTAGGCCAGTACTGTGTAAATGACAGACATCTGCCTTAATCCAGGCCACAAGACAATTTTGTGTGGTCCTTGCTGAAACTCTAGACATGCAATGTCCTCTCTGCCTCTGGGAGATGTCTCCTCTTATTCTCCTGGTCTCTTAGCCCACAACACCACACTGCTCTAGTTCCTGCTCAGTGGGTATACAGCACCTGTTTAACCTGACACGGCTGAACCCAGAGTACTGTGTACCTCCTACTGAGAGGACCTTGGAAAAATACTCAGAAGGTCTCAATAAAAATGCTGTGGGCTTTGCAAGTATCCAACTAGTTCTATAAAAACTCTGCAAGATGCCATCAATGAAACAAACAGTGCATGGTTGCTGGACAGAACAGGTACTAGGGTTGCAGTGTGAGCCTTTTGTGCCGAGGGGTCCTGCCCTTGTGTTTCTCAAGTTGGTCTCACATCACTTTGAGGTCTATCTATTGTGATATCTACTGCCACAAGTCATAATGATTGATATTTCCTATGTTAGATGTTTATTTCCCATATTTCCCTCTTCTCCTTCACGAACACAAGCTCAGGTGCACTCATCCTCATGATTTTAACCCCACATCTTTCAGCTGCAGAACCTTTCAGAAGCTCTTTGCTAACCTTTGCCACTTGTTAATTCCTTTCTCCCACAAGTACCTTTGAACTTTTTTTTGTCACCCCCCCGTACGTCTGAAACAAACTACTATAAATTCATCAGCTTTACAGTCCCTCCTTAAGACCTGTTCCTGTTGTGATCCTACAAGATACTTCCAGCAGCTGCAGCCAAACAAGTAGCAAGCTAAACTTAGTTTGCCTTTTCTCTCTGCAATAACAGGTATTTTGTTACACTAGAATCATGTATTTCTTCTTCTGTTCACCTACTTCATCTTAGCATTAAGGAACACTGTTTGCTAGTTGGATGGAAACATACATAGGGTCTGAACTATGCTTGTACACCGAGTTCAGCAGAGACGTAGTCCCACAAGAAATTGTAATTGTTTCTACTCATGCCTAGTAACAACATACAGAAAATGAGACAGTCCACTGTCCTAGGTATTCCTCCTAAAAAACGGAAAACAAACTAGCAGGTTCTACAGCAAATATCTGCGTGATCAGCAAATAGAAGCATTTCTGTGAAGAGCAGCGCCCTAGCTGAAGAAGTGTGGGTCAGTCAGCAGAAGATTCTGGTACAGTGCCCTGAACTTAGCTCACTGCCTGGAAGCTGCAATCTTGTAGCCATGAGGTGGGGGGAATCAGTGCTTGCCTCAGAAGGGCAAAGTTCCTCCAAGAAAAGGTGAGAAGGTGCGTGGGTGAGGCCCTTCACACTAGCTAATTATAATAAAGTACTTTCAGGACTGATTAGGGTTTTTTTCTGTCTGTACTGCAATAACCATTGTTTATCTCATTTTTAAAGTACTAATCAGGAATATATTTCTTTTCTTTAGTTCAAACAAGTTTACAGGAAGTTCCTCCAAGAGTGCAGCTTGATGGAAACCTAATACAAGGTAAAATCAGAATGTAAACCAGAAACCCTTATTGTGACAGAAGTGTTAGTGGGGAAGGGGTCTGAAGCCTGGACTGGAGGCCTAAACCCTGTACACACTGGGATTGCTGATGTTCACCTCTGTTGGCTTCCTGAATCTCTTCTGCACATTTGAGCATGTGAAAAGCCTAAAACCACAAAAAATAGGAAAAATGAAACAGCTGAGCTGGAAGTTAGTCATTCACAGGTTGCCGATGTTTTCTGGGTTGTCCCTGCTTGTCAGATAAACTGTAAAGGATTTATCTCTATTTGAATGGTATCTGCTAAGGACTGTTGGCAGAAAATGAAGCTGTGACTGTGACTTTTTTGCATGTCCACTATGAAGTACTCTTAGGAAAGAGGGTACTCCAGTCAGTAACTTGATCCAAGAGTTAGAATGATTAGATTTGTTGCCTCATTTGTTGACTGTTCTTTACTGTTCTTGGAGAATGGAAACGTGAGAAATATCCTCAGGAAGGGAAAAGCAGAGGGTAAAGTGGAACAATCTGCAGAGATAAAAAGTCTGTGACTGCAGTCACAACTGAGGTGACTGCAGTCACAGCCTGAGCTCTGGTCATGTCCAAGGCCTGAGCAAGCTGGATCAGGCATGGATTAAGATTGGGTTCATCACTGGAAGCCTGTCTGCCACAGCAAATGGTGCTGATCTGGTCTCCAGACCAATCTTCACTAGAGGCGGGAAAAAAGGCTTTCCTTGTTAATGAATGCAGGTTTGCAAACAGGAAACAACTTTAAGAGTATGAGGCAGTATATGTGTGTGAGTGGGTGTTGTGGATTTTTAAGCATATAATTTAACTGAGATAAACGTTGCATTCTAAATAGTCTTTGTTCTGACTTACTAAAATGTTTGAAAACTTTAAATTGCTTTGTCCCTGCTAGTAACTACCACATGGTTAGAAAGAAATTCCCAGTGTGGGTGCACCCGGAGTTACAAATTTAATACACAACAAGTGCCAAGAGGCACTTGTGTGTGCAATTAGTTGTTAACATCTAGACCACAAGAAATCATACGGCTCTGTTCCCAAGATCAAAAGTACTGTTTCAAACTAAAACTGAATTATCTCCAGCCCCCGTGCATCTGTTTTTACACAGTATTCTCCGTTACTACTTCTCTTTATCCTAAAGTAGTGGTGTTTGATAACAACATGATTTCTGGAAGCCTTTGAGATGAAAGCAGTCTATAACAAAGCACAGAAGTCCCTATACAGAAAGTTGCTGTCAGACAGCAATTTCCTTTATGTAGAAATGTTGCTCTCACACCACTATTATTCTAGCATGAAAGACCTGATTTATGAAAGCGTTACAAAGTACAACACCAAGAAGAAGAAATTCTTCACCTACCAGACGATCAGCAGAAAATACGAAGTCTCCTCTACTGGCTGTCCTGAAAAAGGTAATAATTTCTATTTTAAATTGGGGAATAATTGTAAGAACATTGATTAACTATAATACTAAATTTAAAGGACAATATGTTCTAAAGGCAGTTCTAAGGAAAGTCTCCTGCCATATACTAACTTTAGTATAATTACTGTATAGTCTCTGCAGAGACTCTGCCTCACAGGTTTTCTACTTGGTGGAGAAGACTGAGATGCAGTATATATATATAGCTGCTTACTACTGGCAATGTTGCTGCACTTTACAAGCAGCAATTAAAATATGAAAACATAAGGATGGTATTCCGTAGATTTTTCCATTGAGCCATTATTCCAGCTTAGTTACAAAACATGTCACAAACTCAGATCTGCACCAGCCTGGTATATTCTCTATAACTGTGAGCAAGCTAGCTTTGCTTTGCTCACTCTTAAATCCATAAGAAACCATGGGACAATGATCATACGGATCCAAAGCCCTGCGACTGAGTTAACATACCCAATAGGCAGGATATTCTATCTATCTCATCTGAAATTCATTCATACAGTGGCTAAATTAGTGAACTTGGGACTAAAATGAGCAGGGAAAACTGAGCAGTACAAAGAAAATACCTCTCCACGGGCTTACTAGCTTGAATGCAACTTGTTGCAAATATGCGCATGGCTTTTGGCCTTTTCACAAGACCAAGAGAATAAACTCACCTCTTCCTGCAATGTACTGTGTAAATATACCATGTTAAAAGCTTGAATTTCAAAACTAGATTTCTAACACCTTGCTTCCCATGTCAGGATGAACTCCCACTACACAAGGTGGAACAAACTCGTATTTCAGATTTAGGATCCAACAGTCAAAGCATGAGAGCCTTAAAAATACTCAGATAAAGCATCAACATCATACGCAAGTAATTTTTAGTGAAACTTTCTATTAAGCATAGTAGGCAAACCCCTCTCATTTTCAAACTAAGAGACTCTTGATTCCTCTTTAAGTTCCCATAAAGAGAGTTTTGCGTTCAGTCCCCAAGATTCTGCAACATCTTACGTTTAGATGAGTGAAAGTCAAGAAGTTTGGCTGCTTATTTCCTGGGCAACTGGTAACTTAGCCACACTAAAAAAAAAAGAGTTTTAAAAAAGACTGTCAGCCTATTCTAATTTCTTTCCTTGTGCTATTAATGCATTATTCATTACTAAAAATGCTGTCTGTTCTTCTGCTTTGCCCTTTCTGGCAATGACAGGATATTCATAATGTTCTGCCACTTTGATATAAACCAGAAAACCATTTTTTTTGTAGTATTTATATATATATATATATATTTATATGTAAAAATCTGTGTATGCATATATAAACTAAGAAATAAAAAGTGAAGTAGCAAAGTGTACAGATAGCACACCTAGGTTCTTCTAGACCATGACATTTCAAAATAGTTAGCCATATTTAGCAAATGGGTGGTAAGACAATGTTGAGATTGCACTTTTGTTTGCAAAATGATACACGTTTAGAGTGAATACTAGGGGGTTACTTATACAAATTACTAAACTCAAATTATCTAATTTCTCCTTGCAGAGATGTGGATGTTTTTATGCACAGTTCATGGAACACCCACAGTTATTTCTGTCCCTTTATTGAAGGGATGAAGGATAACAGAAAACAGTGGTGGCATGCATAAAAAGTAGAGATAAAGAATAATAATACTGAAAATGACAGACCTCTTGTACACCGTCAACTGGAAAGCTGTGATCAGATTTCAAGCCCCACATCATATGAGAATTGCTAGGGGCCAGAAAAAAGGCTCATGTGAAAACACTGAAACTGTTCATCTTAAATACTAGATAGAAGTACTATACTTATACAAACTGTATACTTATACAAAGTAATGATCTATGGCAGACTAGAAACTTTTAACACTTCTTTTCTTAATAAAGTCACAAAACAACATTCAAGGAAGTGACACATTAAAGCCTGAGTGTCACAAAACATGGAAAACAACATGAACATTGTGTTAAACAATATATTTTCTTTTTTTTTAATTTTCTGTTCTTGAAGGGATAGAAGCCTTGCTGCTATGTATGATAAAATTCATGTAACAAGTCTTAAGAGTTGAGAAGAAAGGTTTTTTTGGAAATATACTTTATTAAAACCTGACTGCAAGGTTATATGGGTGTAGGCTACATGGGTTGTGGTCTGACCCACTTCAGTAATTTCTATTTCTCTAGCTACCATACAAAACAATGCCTCAAGAGACGCCCACGGTGCTGTGAGGGCAAGACTGGAAGGGGGGGAAAAAACCCACACCCTTTAAACAGAATTTGTGAAAGTCTTTGTAAGTAAACTTACATACTGAGGGGACTGTTGCCATTAAAGGGAGATGATATAGTTAGGAAACAGGATCACATTCTAATTTTTGGGACAGGGAGATTTAAGGTTCTTGAGTGCTCATCATTTTTAGCGTCTGTGCTATGGGAAGCAAAATGTGAAAGGGATTCCACCCTTCCTGCCTGCAGCACTCATCTTTACTCATCACTGATGAGTTATACACTGTTGAATCATCCTACTCTGAACAGCAGTCAGGACCGCGTGTCCTACTGCTTTACTGTCTTCATTTCTATATTGTTCCTTCTTTTCCTTAGGGAAAGTCATCTAAGCAGAACACAACAATATGATCTCACATAAAAGACACAATAACCTCTAAATACCTACATTTAAATCATGTCTAGTGTTAAATCAGGATTTAAAATGACACTAGCAATCTGAGCTAATGAATTTGCTTCTACAGAAACGAGTGATCTAGATTGCAAATTGCAGCACTACTCATTTTAACTTCCAGATCACTGATTCTAATCTGCGCAGGCCAGAAATGAATTTGAGATTATGCCCTCCTTCGGAAGAGGCTGTAGCTGTTTGCTCCCAAGCATTCAGTGCTTAAATACATCAGTACACACTCCATTAGAAGATTCAGAATTCAAATCTAACACACAGCCTAGACAGCAAAAGCGAACAAGCCCGAGGAAAAACAAGCAAACTAACACATACCTAGATTCAGGAGATCTAGCTCATCTCCCAGATTCTGGCACGCAGACCCAGTCTGCGTTAACTTTAATGACAGCTACATAAGAGAAAGCAAAGGAAATACTGATAATTGTAGTCCAGCAAATAATCCTTTGTGATTCAGTCAGCTGTCTCCCAACCTTCTCTATAAGACAGCACGTTATCAGAACATCTTAAGACAGGCTAGTAGGTGTTGTACAGAGGATAATACCAAAAAGTATTATTTGCCGGAGTGCAAGTCTAAGACTCTGCCCGCAAGAAGGGAAAGCAGCACCCTTCCCCTACTATTGCTGATAAAAATATATACAGATTGCATCTGACAAAGCAGCATTTATGGCAGAGTGGTCACTAGCCAAACTGAGCAGAATGAGACCATACCCCATCCCACAGCACTGATCAGCTCACACCTGTCACAAACAGCCTCACCATATGGCATGATAACCACCCACAGAAAGGTGAGGGGGGGGGCAGCGGTTGCTTTTGTTTGTTTGCTTTTTTTTAAACTGGGCAGTTATTCCAATTGAAGGGATGTGTTATCTTCCCCTAAACCCGCTCAAAAATGAAAAAAGAGCTTTCCACTTTTCTGAACAGCTCATACTATGGACCAAATAGGGTCCCCAAGATCTTCAGCATCTGTCCGGACCCCACCCTTAGCTCCACATAACATGCCTGATTCTAACTTGCAGTGCAGTAAGAGTATTTACCCTTCCCTTACTGCAAATTAATAGTCCTAAATTGACTATAGGTTTTTTTTTTTTCCTGCTTTTCTTCTGGTTCTTTCTCCCAGTAGCTTGACTTAATTTCTGCACTTTCCATGACCTTTACAGGTGATTGCTGTACCTGGAACGTTCATCTTCTTGAGCATTAAGTAACCCAAATACCCTCCTTAAATTCATGCAGCTCTAGTTCTACCTGTTTTACTTTTTTTAATCCAGAAAGACAGATAAAATGATAGGTATCTAAATGCCCTGTAAATGATATAGCTTTTCCCTCTTCCTCAAGCAGTGTGAGTGAACACATCCTTATATCAGTTTAAATCAGTTTTGTTTGACCGGGACTACTTTTAGCCATAAAGCTGCTTATTCACAAACACTATTATTTTCTGAGGAGGTCTTTTAGCATTTGGTTTGAATGCTACAGTTGGTCCTACAGTCTACTGGCCCAAGAAAAGGTTACTGCATCCATTTCTAAATAGTGCATAAGAAGTCTTCTCACCCCTGCAGCTGAGCTCATTTTCACATCTTTCTGTATGACAGGCACTAACGTAGGTCATTCTGCAGTCTCTCCTTTACTGAAATGCAGCTGCCTTCCTGGGACAGAACATGAAAATAGTGGTTCCCTATTGTTATCACATACAAAGCCTGTAAGAGCCTTTCTGAGACAACTGAGTCTAGTTGTCTAGTTTTTCCTCACTGGGGTGGGAAAGGAGCTTGGAAGTCATAGTTACATTTCCACTGCCATGACAGCATCACGTTCAGAATAAAGTGCAGTTTGCTATCACTCCAGCTGTTATGAGTGATTCATTATCTACAAGGCTCATTCTACACTTCCCCTTAAGGAAGTATTGTGCAATGAATCTGATGCAACTCTAAAAAAAAAAAAAATCTCTTCAAGGGTAAAATATCAGCTATTTCCTTGTCATTAACTTCAAAATTTTTATAGGCCATCAGCAAGCCTAGTTTGGATTCCTTCACGCTCTCTTTCTCTCTGTTTAGCCCACTTACAACTTCTCTTTCTGCTCTCCAGAGAAACTGCCAAGAAGATATTCTCACCTGCAGAGATCTTTTGTGTGGTCTTGCCACAACTGCCCTGCTGTACAGTGAGACTGCAGTAGCTCTGTGTGTTCATGTCTGCAACAAGATTAGTTTTTTCCACAATGCTTATAGGATAAAATGTAATAATAATAATAATAATAAAGGTAACAAAAGCTGATGCAAACTAATACCACTAATGAAGGTATTGTCTTTGAGAGATGATGATTAGTTTTGTATAAAAACACATAGTGTTATTACAGTTGCAAAGTTAAGCACTCAAGAACCAGGAAATACCAAAATATAGGCTATACAGACAGGACAGATCTGAAACAAGGGGAAGAAACGTGTCCACATGTGCTCTGTGTTATTTATTGCAGATGCTAGAAAGCCAACATGTTACATGAAGAGAAGGCTTTATTCAGAACCCGAGCGCTGAACCAACAAACTAGATTTCATAGCTCTGTATCTGATGGTGGTTCCTACGTAACGGTAGGCAAGTCCCAAGCTGTGCTTTTAAGAGGTGCCTGCTGCATATGTTTGTCATGCGATGCATGCTAAATTTAATACCCTATAACATCATCTTCCAAGTGCTGAACAATCAAAGCTACAAAAGTAATCAATGAGAGGTATGCTTTCAACATCTGAAACGTTATGTAACACCCACTAGAACAGCGGGTGTTAAGTATCTCACGTTGGACGTTCAGCGGTAAGGGCACAATTTTGCATGGTTTTCTGCCTTTCACCTTATCATTTGTAAAACTGGAACGACACCTTTATGTCTCACAAGGTATAGTGGCAGCGAGAACTCTTGGTGACATAAAGTGACAACTATGGAAAACAAGGCCTTCCAAAAAGGCAGTCGTCTTTGGAGGTAAGCGTGCCCAAAGTAAATGAACTGTTCTCTATTATCTGCCTCTCTCCTTTATAATTTTTCTCTCCCAAGACTATCATTCTCTCTCATTCCTCCTAGCCCATCATTGCCTTTTCTCTATGTCTCAACACTATCTTTTTTGTCTGATCAGTTCCAGGCTCTGTTCCTCAACTGTCTGATTTGAGCTCACTTTCATTTCAGCCAACCTTGCTTCTCTCCAGTCTTTATCTTCTTCCTGACTCTCAGGCTGTCCTTGTGATCTGTCTTCTTCTGTCCATCCTTGTCCCAAAATTTTTACCACCACCACTAATACCTACTTTAGAGACTTGGTCCTTAAATTTTTCCTTAATTTGCTAGTCCTAATCTTCTATCCCAAAGTCAAGTGGTTTCTGCGCCTCTTATTCTCAAACTTAGCATCTGTCCTTTGCCAACCTTTAAATCCAATCTCTGCCCTATACCCATGTTGTCTTAATCCACACCATAAGAACACTACAGATCCAGTTGCTATTCCTTCTGTATGTCATTGAACATGTGTGAGAAGGGGCGGCCATGGGGTTGTCAGCACGGTCCTGAGACCAGTAAGGGAGTGCAGGTGTAATCCAGTCAGCACAAAATATTGTGAGAAGTTTGCACACGCTTATTTGAGGTACAATTCAAAAACCAGTATGGGCAAGGGGAAAAAAGGAAAACTCATTCATTGCTTTACTCCTATCCAGTCTTTGTTCCTTCTTCTGGTGAGGTTTTGCCAATCTCTGTCAATTCTTAGGACCACAGTCAGTCCCTATCTGCACCCAACACGTTTCTAGCAGGCGGTCAGAAGATGTTTTCAGTAACAAAACAGATGTATGCTAACACAGTGAAAAGTATTTTTGGCAGTGAAGATAAAAGTAAGGAAAGATTCTTCCTGCTGGAAGCATAAGAACATCACAGCACTGGTTACTATTACTAAATCTGTAAATACAGTTCCTCAGCATATGTTCTCCTAAAACACGTACCGCTAGATGTAAAAGGAAAGTTACAACACAGCAAGAAAACAAACTCTCAGACCATAACCAAAGTCTAGAGGAGAGGACA